AATGAGAACGGCGGATAATTTTTGCTCAGTTTAATATGTTCGTGGTGGCATTTGAATGCGATTTGGCAAGTACAATTAGTTGTGGGGCCAGCCGATGAACAAGTCAGTGTTTTTATCCTTCCAGGTCTTGAGCCGTATGCTGTCCTTCCCCGAGTTCGCGTGCCCTGTCGCTGATTCTGTCCTAAGGTCGGGAACAAGTCACAGTAGTAACAGTAGAACCTGCCATTGAACACATGATGTAGCTACCCTCTCCTGTTGAGGCACTCTTCTTTGAAGGGTTGTGCTGTTTGAAATCTAGAAAGGCACAGTATGGCTGGTCCTATGACACCACCTTGCCCCCCCCCCCCCCAAACCTCAAAGCAACAGTCCCAGCAGGGTTTTTACCTTCGACACTAAAGGTGCGCTAGCCCTAGTCAAGAACATAAGAAGTGTGACTGAACAAAAAACTCACCTTGGAAAGCCGCTAGAAAGGGAGCTGAACGGCTTCGAAGTGGGCGTGGTTGCTCAGTCGGTTGCAAGTCCCTCGGCCGACTTCGTAACCGTTCAGCTCCCTTTCTAGCGGATATTCAAGGTGAGTTTTTTTTTGTTCACTCACACTTCTTATGCTCCTCACTAAGGGTACTGTTCCACACCACACCATCAGTACACTTTTCCACACCATACTATCAGTATCGAAGGTAAAAACCCTGCTTGGAGTTGCTTCAAGATAGAATCAACAGCGGAGGACGCGTCCTCCTGGAAGAGGGATAGAATGCGACTCTGGTACCAATTGACCGAGTCCGGAGCGATGGAAGGCCTGGTTGGCCTGGACGACGCACAACCCAAAATTCGATGCGCGCGCGTGGCTAGCAGCGCCACTTGCCACCACGCCACTTCTGCTCAGAATATCACACATATGCATAATATCCCCAACTCTTGGATAAATTATCGTTAAAAAAAAACTGGAACCAGCACAAAAGGATCAAATCATGAGGTCGCTCGTCATCGAATGATACTGTCGCCAATGGGCTAAATTAACTAAAACAAACGATCAAACCTGCACTCATACAACTCTGCATGAATTGGACAGTAGAATTGACGAGAGCATCAGATGGAGCAAAGACCACAAGCACTACCTCCTTTCGCGCTGGCCTTCCGAAAACAAGTCCACCAATCTGAGAGTTCTCATCGCTCCAAGAACGAAGGCTCTGGTAATTCTGTAATGGGAAACTGCTAAATACAAATAGAAAATTGGAAGATGATGAGCACATTACTCACCTGGAACACAAGATCCGTGTTTAATGTCCACTTTTCTCTCATAACTCAAACACCTAAAGACATTAACCACTTATGGAAAAATGTCGAGCACTCGCACCACATTTTGAATAAAAAACTACTTCTGTGCCGCAGAAAAACACAATGACGTTATTAAAGCGAAATATCAGGAAGTAGTGCAAATCTCACAGTATGCCAACAGGTTCAAAGCAAATATTCACAACACCAAAAAATTCTGAAACTTTATTTTATTTGAATACTTATTCAGAAACCCATAAATATGGAAAATACAAATTAACAATGGATCAGCAGTAGACCGAGGTGATTAGATGAAGGGCGAAAATAAGGTTGCATTAGAAACCTATTTCTTGTTCCAGAACATTTTCAGTGACACCACATTGCTAACCGAAAATAAAGAACACCGTGGAGGATTACACGGAAGATTCTAAATAACGGCAAGGCTAAAAACAAGACGACCAATTTAATAAGTCTTCATATCATAAATAAGGCATTCATTATAGTGCAAAGATCACACACCGTAGAATGAAAAATGAACTGAACCTTAAACCTTGCCTTACCCACAAACGCTGTATTTAGTTTTTTTTTGGAAAAGATGTGAGATGATACGTGAATGTTAGTGTAGTAAACAGGGGTAAGAATCGCCACGACGGAAAGTCTTTTTCGCTTTTAGCAGCTCGAAACTTTTTCGTAGCAGGAACGCCAGGTCCACTCATTATCTGGGTGGACCTAGCGTTCTCGTAACGGAAAAGTACCGTGCTGCGAGAAACGAAAGCGTCGCTTTGGTCCTGGCGACCCACAGCCAGTGAACACAACCACAAACTCCAAAATGGGACATATTAACGCAACCTTCGAGCGATTCTGAGACCACCACGGTATAACATAAATCCTACGGCACCCCAGAAGACAGCTCGGAATGCAAACTTTACAACCTGTAATAGATTTAGTTTCTTACTACACGCTCTGAACAAGCACTGCAAAAATACTTCTTTTCCTACACAAAATTTCTACAAGTCACTAAAAACTTGAGAAATTAAGACTGAAATCTGTTTCTGCAGAAATCGTGAAGCACAGAAAAGCCTCTGGCCGAATGAAAAGTAAATTTGCATCAACACGATTTCGAAGTGACTACAGGGTTTTGATCAACACAAAAGTAAAAAGAAAAAATGGAGACCCACTTTTGTGGAGGTAGACGGAGGAGGAATATGTAGAAGTGGCGCGATATCCACTGGATTGTCCCAATGAGCAACAATTCCTGGTGTGTGACCGATACCTACGACAGCAACTACCTGCAAATAAGAAAAGATTCAAAGATTATTCCGCCCGAACATTTCTTTGGGATTACTACAACAGAAAAATCACCCGTAAAGGCTGCCACTCAACGTCAGTGCGTTCCCAAGACAGCCGTTTCTCAATAGTATTCTTTTGCAACAAAGAATGAAGAGCATGAGTCATATACGCATCCCGTTCGTCTACAAAAATCTAAAAAAAAAACTAGATGTGCTGTTTACCACAATAACAACAAACTAGGAATATTCTAACTTACCTTAGTGAGCTTAGGAAAATCGCCGGCCATTTCAGCTAATAGCTGCTCCAGCAAGTCACGTTGCTTACATTTCTCAACCTAAAGCAAGTCTGATGTTTTTATTTTAGAGGATTCGCTGCTCTTCTTGAAATGATTAGATGGCGCACTTTCCTCACCTTGTTAAAGATTTAAAGATTTGTATGAAAATATGCACCATTGAAAAACTTTGTTCTTGGACAAGAACAAAGCTCAGAGAGTACTAATGACAAAACTTCTAGATACGAACTACACAATTCAGCTGGATATGACCGAAAAAATGCTTTAAACGACTCAACCCCAATCCCTAGCAGCATTCTGCTCAAAAATAAGATGCCTGATCATATGAGACAAAGATGAAATCAATCGCGAGGGATGATCGCATTGAAGCAGAAACTTACGAGGTGCTGAAAGAAAATAAAACGGAACAATTACCTCTTCAGGAGTTATTGATGCACTATGAGAGAGTGCAACGTGCCAGAAAAATTTGATTTTCTGCCAAAAGTTGAGTGAACCTAGCGATCCTTGAAGCGTGACGTGAATCGGACGATCCCCTAGGACGAGTCGACAGAGCTTAAATGTTCAGCTGAGGGAACAATACAGAGATATAACAGATATGAGTTAAAACAAGGAATCATGTTGTAATGCAGTACCCACTTGCAAGATGCTAAAGTAAAATATGCAAAAATTATATAAATCGTTAAAACTAACCTGGGTTTGCATAACTGCCTTGTGAGCAGCGCGAAACTCACCACCAGGGGCCATAGACAATTCTCTTGTGATATGGGCGGACATGGAGAGCAACAGCACATGCAAAACTCCTTGCACAACACCACTCTGAAATTTTTTAAAGTTTGCCCAATATATTGACAAAAAGCCAGCCCTCGCACAATGATCTTTTGGGATTTTTGTTTTCTGACGGCAAAATGTCACGTCAACATATGGAACAGGCGCTCCCTGCTAGAACAAGGAGATGCCATATAAACGCTTACCCTGTATTCTGGAAAACGAGTAGAACCTCAAGTGTGTACTACACATCACAAGTGACGGGGGCCGAGAAAAAAGGCTTTTTAGCCGTCGTCACTTAAGGTGTGCACTCTACACTCGACTTTCTTCTCGTTCTCCAAAATAGAGGGTGACCACTTTGAAGCAAATGGCGCTTTATAGGGCTTTCATAGTCGCTCGTCCGATTGTTGCGATATAGCGCAGTTAAATACGTTCTGTTGCCTCAAACACCTACGATCGGATCGGACGACCGCTAAGCATCTAACGATTTGCAATAATTACGATCGAAGGAGCCCATACGATAAACATAAACAATCACTTCAAAAAATTTTTTGAAGGTAAAGGATCAGTTCTTGATATCATTTAGAGCTGAGCCAACCGATCGAATCTTTTCTTGAGTCTATTACAGAGCAGTTTTACCGCTGAATAGATCATTATGAATAAAACGATAGGACGGCGGTCACCAGAAGCAAAATAGCAGTGACAAAATTTTGCCGTAGGACTGGCTGCATAGAGCGGAGGCCGCAATGCTCTCCATCAGTGCTGGATAACTAACAAAGGATGGGTGCCCATCAAGTCTTGAGATCTGGATCTAAGCCAAATCTAGAACATACATAGATACTATGGCTGTGATGCCATTGGCTGCATTTTTTTTTCGTTCGGAACCTTGGACAAAAATAGAAGCTAGATGTCTGGTCAAATATCTCAAACGCATTGCGAACCGCGCGCGTTACCACTGCATGGTCTACGTTGCACCAGGGCAGGATTGTAGTGTCCGATTTAGTTGCCATAATCCTGCGTCGCAAAAGCCCACAGTTACTTTCCAATATGGAAAAAACTGAAATCATAAACGACGGCGTGGGTGTGAGAAGCGCATGACTCACCCACCCTGGGGATTCCCTGCCCCTCCTCAAATTGGAACTGCTGTTGGCGGCATCTTTGGGAACACATGCCCCCAACCGGACAAAACCTCAATATCCTTCTCCTACGCGTGGCCTTGTGCTTCTTCACTTCTGCAATCGTCGACAATGGACTGGACAAGTACGGTACGAGGAGCCACCGGGCCACGCGGCATTCTACTCGTCTCTGCTCTCTCGGCAAGAGCAGGCGGCACCTTTCGATAGACATGGGAGCGTAGTGCCACCACAATTGGAACGGCAACACTGCTGCGTATTGGAGGCCCCTAAGACTGAGCCTGAAAGTAGGAACGACTCCGGATGTAAATCCTAAAATAAGCGTTGCTACAATTCTGAGATCCGTGCAAGGAATAGAGCGCCGCGCCGCCGCTAAGTCCCCTGAATTACTTTAGTTTCATGTGTATCAATCCCTAGAGGTAAAAATCGAGAGAGGAATCAAAGAGAAATAGGAAGAATACGAAAATTTTCGAGATATTTACTTGGAAAGTACCTGCTTAATGGTCGTAATTATTTTTTGCGTATTCAAATCACTGGCTTCCTTCAACAATGTTTGTTCATCCATTGACAGAATCGAAATCCTGCTTGGGCACAGCTCTACCATGACCAAATCAGGCTGCGTGATTGCGATAGTCTTGATGACATCTTCTTGAGATTCTTTGCTGCAAATTTAGCAAAGATATTATACGATTCGAGAATTCGAGGAAGCATTCTTGAAGAGCACCTGAAATGGGCAGTTCCGATTAAATAAACCGAAGCCTCTTCGAAAGCTTTAGCCCAGCTAGATGGATCGATCCCAT